GATATCAAATATACCTGGATCCATGCTGAAAGGACGCTGTTACACTAAAATTTTAAAATGGCATTTCAAACCCATAAAACTGAAATCTGGAATGTTTCAGTCAATACTTACCTACTTACACACACACGCTATAGGCACTTTCTCCAAATGTTGATCTGGTTGACAATGCTGTCTAACTTCATCATTAGTCACAGTCGTATTACCTGCTGTTTACTCTTAAGTCTGTGAATGCATACAAAGGTACATGTGTGTGTGATTATTGTAGGACTCCTTTTTTGTGTTTTGTTTTTATTGTTAATGCAGTGTGTGCCGTTATCTTGTGTTTTTTGAAGGTGAAGAAGCTAAACTCAATGATAGTGGAGAAGAAGTCTGCGCTAGCACCAATTATTAAAGAACTGAGGTCACTGAGACAGCAGAGTCAGGTGAGCATCATCTGAATTATTAAACGAGAACTTCAAAGAAACCTCACGGCACATCAAACGGTGTTTGTAAAGACAGTTTGATGTGCCAAAGACCACACCGAAACAAGGACCTTCAGCTCACATGACAAAGCAGCATCCCTGTTTAGCACCCAGCCTGTCAGAAAAAGGATCCTGGCAAGAATTTGGTACGGATTTTTCATTACAGAGTATAACTTTCAGAAAGAGTGGGTAATTCATGCTCCAAAATATCTTCGGTGAGTCCTAATTCTGTTTCTGCGAACAAGTAGAAGTTCACTTTTATATTATGCTACCATGGACAAGGTCCATTAGGAGTAATTTGCGTGATCCATAAATCAATGTATAATGGGAAAGCATCCTGCATCCCTGAGCTAGAGCAGAGGATTTAATTTTCCTACATGTGTGCCCAGAATTGCTCTTACATCTCAATGGGTCACGTCTGTTAATGAAGAGCTGCAACGGGAAGACATAAATAGACTCTGTAAGAAGTTAAAGTGCTAAAACTACAGCTGGGATCTTTTGTTGACATTAAACAGTGCTGTGAGCGGGACACGAGTGTTGATAATAGTGCATTTGTCTCAGTTCTGACTGTCTAGTAATGGATTTGCTTTTCTGTTCCGGTGTGTCCTGCTCGGATTCTTCATAGGAGTTAGGCCAAGAGTATGAAGAAAAGAAGGCACAGTATGAAAGCTGTGCTGCTGGTTTGGAGAGCAACAGATCAAAACTGGAGCAGGTATAATTATTATAGTGCAAGGGTTTCATATGCACAGCAGTTTAGGTAAATTTTACGTGCTTTTTTTTCCCGTGTGTTAGTACATGTTTGATCTTTAGCATGGTTATATAAGAACGCCCATCCTCTCTTTAAATCACAGGAGGTGAAAGCACTGAGGGATGAGATGGCACAGAAGGAAAACCGATACCATCATATCAACACCATGTCACAGGCAAGTATTTTGAAAAGATACAGTAGTTACTTAAGGCAGGACCAAAGACTGTGCACTGTTATCGCTGTTTTTAAGCCAAATTAGAAACATGAGTGCATACAATGCTGCAGCATTTTGTAAGCCACCTGCCCCCACAAGCACCCACTGGGACAAACTGTAAACTCGGATCTGTGCCTCTCTGTCCTCGGCAGATCCTTGAGATGCAAATACAGAGGGCAGCTGAGGAGATGAAGGCCTACGTGTCTCCTGATCCGCAAGAGAAGAAGAAAGCCATGAGGTGAGCCTGCTGAGCCAGGCCAGCCAGCTGCTTGCGAAATGAATGGCCTTTTTTATTTCAGCAGGCTCTCATTACACTAAAGCCAGTTAATCTACTGCCACTGTTTCCTTGCTGTTGTGATGACACACCTTTATTTTTAATACATGGAGTGAAATCAGCTTGAGAAATGGCTGTTGCACACATGTTACTAATCTTCCTCTTGTTCACTGTAGGGAAGTGTACATGAAGAATATTTCCGAACAGGAGTTACTTGGCAAGGTGAGAAAAGTGTGCTGAGCGAGTGCTGACCCAGCAGATTCTAGGACGGGTCAATACTTGGAAATATTCCTTTATTCTGTCAAGAACATGATCTGAGGACACACAGGTTAGCCAAGGTGGTTTCACAGAGTTTGCTTTGGAAGTAAAGTACCGTAATGCATAGTAAGGAATACACCTGAACATTCACATCAGGACACAAAACCAAACAGTAAATTATATGTATTACTCTATAAAAGTGCAAGCAAATTCTTTATAGAATTCTCTAGAAATGCCATAAATATGCATCTAGTTTGCAGAGTTGAGGTTATATTAACACATATGGCATCAAATCTGAATTCTGTCTTTGAATAAATGCCAGTTGTTTTTATCTCAGGTCTACAGAGGACAGTAGAATGTCATAATGAGACAGATTTAACATACTTTTGTTTGCACCAGGTTGGCACAAATGTGATCATGTTGGGGTTCATTTAATTTTGAGCAAACGGAGTCTGCGCTGGGTATTTTTCACCAATATCTCTTTTCACGTGTGGTCTCCAGAAGTTGCGAGAGGAACAGAAGACGGTGAGGGAGAGCCACAGCGCCAACATGGAGCAGGTGAAGATGTGGCGTGACCTAGAGCAGCTGATGGAGTGCAAGAGGCAGTGCTTTATAAGGGCAAAGAACCGGGAGTCTATCGGTCAGATCATCCAGGAGGGAGGGGAGGACAGGCTGGTGCTGTGAGGAGTCATCTAGGAATGATGGGCTGTGATTCCACTGAGTTCAGCTTAACAGAGTTTCTGTCATCATTCTGTCACAGGCTTAATTTTCCTCATATATCTCTTCTCTTTATACCCAGCTGTTGTTTCAGTTGGAACTTTAGAACCAGACCACTAACCTAAAGAGGTGGCGTGGTTTAAGATGCTTTTGAATCTCCAACTTAAAGAACACGTGCAGCGGCACAGGGGTTTTCACTTTCTGTGGCCCACAGGAGACTCCTTTCAATCAGAGTGTCCAAAGATAACAGGATACAAAGTGGTGCTCTTGGGATGTGGCCACAGTCAACTATTATTGGCACTGCCAACCATGACCTTGAGCATGGGTTGAGATTCCAGTTTTGGAATTCACTGGGAGCCCCCACTGCATTGAAACAGTCAAAATATTCTGCTTGTGGAATACTGTAATGGATCCTTTTTTCAATATGGTTGTTAATATTTTCCGTGCATTTCTATTAAATATATTTAATAATGATTTTGACTCATGTTTTCATTGTGACAGAGAAAAATATATGAATGTAAATTAGGAAAGCTATGTAGACTGTTGGAGTTTAAAAGAGCAGTTGGTCTGTCCTATCCATTGCCTTCATTTGTTCTGTTTTGTTTTTTCACCATGAATCAATTTTGCATCATATCTGAAAGCAAAAACTTTTATTTGGATGATGAAGATTCATATCTTTTTTAGCAGGTAACACGACACACACGTCTGCCCGCTGACTTTTCAGTGTGACACGTCATTCCCAGCAAATGTCTTCATGGATGTTTCAGGGTCTCGACCTCCCCCTCTCCCACAGGAACTTAATCTGCTGTTGACAGCCAATGTTAGTGGCCCTTGTGCCAAACGGATCAAGTGTGCTTTGTAAAAGGCTGCTTGATGTCCAGCTGGCTGGTGCCATGTTATTGTTGTTACAACACCTTGTGCTTCTTGGGACCTTATTAAGACATTAACAGATGATTCACGCCAGTCCTGTAAAACATCTGACAGCACTACCCTCTGAAGACCCCAGAGGAGGGCGGGGGATCCTTTTACACCTTTACAGAAAATTGGACCTTTGTTTTGCAAACACCTTTCACTTTAAACCTTATTTTTTTGTGGTATTGGTATGTCTCTGCTACTAGCTGGTGTAAATAAATGTTCCAATTTTCTAAGACAATCTCAATTACACCCCCCCCCCCCTCTAATTAAAGCGGTGATACATTAAACGAGCAATGGACTTTTTGTATTTGGATGCCTTCCTTCTGTCTGCATGAAGCTGCCTATAAAGCTGTATAAGCACATTTGGGCAGAGCATTGCAAGATTATTGTAGTTAAAAACTAAAAAGGTGTGTGGAATTATTTTTTTTAGGTAATTAATAAATATCATATTTGTGAAATTATGGTAATATTTACTTAAGACGTAAACTGAAAAAAAAATCAAAAAGGCGTCTTTACTTTCAGTCTTAAGCTCTTGCTCGTCCCCTCGTATTACCTGTTTATATATATTTTTTTATTAATACAGGACCATCAGGGCTGCCCATGTTCAGTGTTGAATGAAAAGGACATTGAGAGGACATGTATATAATCGCCAATGCTTAAAAAAGATTTTAAAAAGCAAAACCACCACCTTTGCTGCTGCAGAAATCTCCTTGAAATGTCGTGTTTCTCTCAAAATATTATAATAAATTTCTGATGTTGTGTTTTTATTGTGATGTACGGAAGAGGATTAGGGCCACTGGGAAAAAAAAGAATTCTGACTTTAATCTCAGAATTCTGAGATTAAAGTCAGAATTCTTTAATCTCAGAATTAAAGAATTCTGAGATTCTGACTTTAATCTCAGAATTCTGAGATTAAAGTCAGAATTCTTTTTTTTCCAGTGGCCCTAATCCTCTTCCGTAGTAATGTCTATTCTCGACTTGTTTTTGAACAAGTTGTTAAACCTTTCCCCAGAAAAATCTGTCTATTAAACTATTAAACATTTTATACACACACACACACACATTATACATATATATATATATGCGCCTCTGTTTCAACTTGGACATTCATGAAGCGGTGGAAGGGAATAACTAAGGAATAACTTGTCAGCCGTATAAAGCCAACTGATAGCTCCAGGACGTCACGTGTCACACCACTATAACAGTGTCACCTGCCAGGTACACTGAGGAAGACGTGGCGGGCAATATGAAACACTTAAAATGAATGCATAGTAACCCTACACACTGTACGAAGTGACCCAATCTTCACGGCTTACATAAAACAAACCCCCCGGTATGTCGGCCTCTCATTTCCTGGTTATGTTCCGGTTTTTTTCCGGCTCTCCTTAGCTGACGCAGTCGTCCAATGATATGAGTCCACATGCAGCGCAGGGAAGAGGGGCAGCAGTGAGGCGCTTTGATAAAACCAGACTGTCGGCAGCGCGTGAAGCCACTGAGAGCTGCGCCACGGTGAGGCAGGGTACGGCACGGGAGCACAGAGGAGGACTGGACCGGGTGAATGCAGTCCTCGGCACGGGACGCTGCTGCAGACACTTTCCCACTATTTTCGGACATAACGGGAGGCGCACAGTAACCACGCGGGGAAGAGGAATTTGGCTACAAAATTTCTGTCGTGAAGGAAATCTTAAGAGGGGCCGAGAAGAGAAAGGGACACGTTACACCTCTGTCAGTAGCTGCCGATAGCTATCCGAGCTGACAAAGTCCTCGCTGCTCTAAAAGTCCTCACAGGGTAGGGAGCCACAAGGTATCCTCCACCGGTGTTCTCGGGTACAGCTGAGTGAGAAGGAGCCGTCTATCCGCCATGGAGAACGCTCACACGAAGAGTGTGGAAGAAGTTTACAGTTATTTCAGCGTCAATGAAAGCACAGGACTTTCCCTGGACGAGGTGAAACGACAGCGGGAGAAATGGGGCCTAAACGGTACGACAGCTAAAAACCGCAAAGCGACGGAAAAACAAAAACGCTGCGGCTGCGAACGAGACACGGCGTGAAAGTGTCATGTCACGGTGGCGTGGGCAGCGCGAGCTCAGTTTTTGATATGCGGGGTAAAAGTCGCCAGCATCATCATCAGACCGTATGGTGATTTGGCTGACGTCACCTCGAGGGTTTCCCGTGTTTTACACAGTAACGAGTTAATCATTACTCAGAGGCCGTAGCTGTGCACGGTAACAGTGCGTGAGCCGCCTGTGATCGCGGCCACACTGCTGACAGCAGCGGGGAAATGTGGCGCGGTAGTTTCACACGGTAACCCTGTTGAATGTTCCTCAGCAAACTGTAATACATGTGCACTGGACACTGAGCAGTGGGTACAGGCTTACTGGACCAACACTGCCAAAGTTAATCTCTCTTGTCCCAGGCTTAAACAGCTGTTTTATATTAATATCAACTGGGAGGCCATGGACGGTATTCCCTCCTTCTAGCTCACTTTGACCTTTGCACTGATTGGATTTTTATTTAAATATTTATTCCTGCTGTGTAATAAAGCATCACTGATGTAAATTATGTACCCTTGTTGGCGCTAGAAATGTGAACATGGGGTCTTGCATATAAAAGTATTAAATAGTTGCAGTGTGATTTCTTTCATGGGTTTAACAGTCAAACAGAGGCGTGCATACAGAAATTCCCCTCTTTTTCACTGTTTATGACTGAATAATCACTGAGCAAAAGTCTCACATGAAACTGAGAATAAGCTGGTGGCTTTGACACCTAAATGTGCCTGAGATTTAGAGCTATGAAAGTAGCGCTCACAAACATGCAGAGAGTTGCTGTTTCTCAAGTGGGAAACTTTTTGTTGTTGTTGTTGTGTTCATATATTACTTATATATATTTATTTATTTTTTCTTCTTTGCCTGCTTCCTGTATGATCCCCGGATTGACAACCGCATACCCACACACAGAGTTACCAGCGGAGGAAGGTAATCACTGCTGTCACTCACACCACTCCCATCATTTTTATGCTGGCAAGTTTCTGCGATTGGCTTGTTTTTCACTAACTCCCTCCTCTCTCTCTCCCTCTCTTTGCAGGGAAATCTTTATGGGAGCTCGTCCTCGAACAGTTTGAAGATTTGCTCGTTCGAATTCTTCTGCTGGCTGCATGCATATCTTTTGTAAGTATATGCTAGAGCGTTTGTTTTAATGTACCACACAGACTTTCTTTCAGTCATCTCATCCCAAGCTCAGTGAGTTGAAACTGAATTGCGGGCTTCTTCTCGAAATTCAGCTGAGCTTCTTAGTTTTATTCTCAGTGTTAACTCCCCTGTGCTGTCACCCCCTGCGTGTCCGTGTGATGATGTGCTAATCTTAAAGTCAGAAGAAACCTTTTCACATCCCTCAAATAGCTTCCTCTTTCCACCTCTGTCTGAAAGTGTTTACATGAAGCCAAAGCCGCAGATGGGATTATTATAAAGCCCGGTGTCATAAATGGCAGCACATTATTTATTCAGCGCATAGTGCTGAAGTGTGAACGTCTTCAGTTTGTATAACGTGCCTATGGTTACACTCACATATGGGAGCTAAACAGCTGAGAAGGCTAGCAGCCCGTCTGAGGAATGGTGACAACAGCAGTAGCAGCATTGAGTTGCTATCACCATGTGCCAAGTAAGACATTTGAGTCGCCAAGCGTGACTGCTGTGTAATAACTTGCACTCGGTCTCGTCCGGGCCGCAGGCATCCAATGCTACATGGATATATGTTTGATGGCTTACACTTGCATAACAGTGTCACTGCCATGTGTCTGAGCCAATTTATAAGCTAAATGAAGTGAACATTTCCACATGGTATAAACTATAGATCCACCATGCAGCTTGCAGCTGCAGGGAAGAGACTTTTTAAAACAATCTTTTATGTCAAAGGTGGAAACATGGTTACCTTGCACATTTCTTCTTGTCTCTTAAGTTCTTCTACTGTGTTTAGATAAAACGTAATAAGTAAATGAGAACATGTTCTCTGATCTGCTCCCAAAAGCTAAATTGAGTAAAATAAAAATAAAAGCATTTTATTTTGCTACATTTTGCTGTCAGATATGGTCGTGCTTTTTTTCTTCTTCTTTTTTTTTTAAAGCAGTCTTTAGCACTGCAAAGATTCATCCTTGCTATTTAATTCTATAAATGACTGCTAACTTAACAGATGGCTGAAGAAGACTTTGATAACTGAGGCTGCCTGTGTGTGTGTGTGTGAGAGAGAGAGCTGGTAAGAGTGGTGTCAGGTGATACAGAGGTGTCAGTCGCTGCTGTCTGACAGTGGAGCAGAGCACCACTCGAGACCAAATTTGGTTCCTCACCCCTCAGTGGGAGGGCTCTCTATCAGACAGAAGTGCACACCAGCGTCGGTGTAAATTTAATGTGTATATAACCATCAAACCTCTTAGAAAACTAAAAACCATATCCAGAAGAATGTGCTTGGATGAGTGATTCACATTCGCCTGCTGCATGTTTAGCTGCTCTGTATGCAAATATCTAATCAGCCAATTACATGGCAGCAATGTCAGAGGGGCTGGTCTGAGTATTTCAGAGTGTATTATTTTAGTTATTATTTTTTTAATTAATTAAAAGTGTGTATGGATTTTAGATGGATGGATTTAATGTTTGAAGAGGTTACTCTGGTTTCTAACACACCACAGTTAACATTTCTTTGCTATTTTCTTACTAATCAATTCATCGACAAGCAGATTATATTAAAATGAAGAGGGTAGCTGGTTAGAATAGTATCTTTACATGTATTGTATGCCATGACATACAATAGCGCATTATAAGCACTTCTGTGTTGAGACAGCTATTAAAGCATTATGCTTGCCTTTTTGAATTATGCCATTCAAAGGTCTTTGGCATCCACTGCAGTCAGACACTTGGGTCTTACTGAGGTTGATTGCTTTATACATTACGGCAGATTAACTAATTGCTTGTGACAGACAGGGTAATTTAAAGACCGTTTTCTCAGGAACAGCAAGCCAAATGAGACTCCGGGTCAATATACTGTAATTCTTTTCCTGGCAGTTTTGAGTGTGTGCGTGTAACAATGTTGAGACTGGTCCTTTGGTGTTCGTGATGTGAATTAAGTAAAATTGACAGGCTTAAAAAGTGTTAACTTAATGGAGGTCTGACCGTGTTAACCCCACAGCTTTCTCCACAGCCACCTGTTTGCATTATTGAATGAATTACTCATGAAGTAGCCTCTGTCCATATACAGCTTAGCCAAGCTTTATAGCTTTCAGAGCAACAGTAAAAACCAGTAATTACAATCTATGTATGTTTATATACCACTGTGCATATGAGTATATAACCAGCTGCTCACAATGAATAGAATAAATCCATTTCTAATGTTTCTAACCTAACTAGGAATTTTAAAGGTCTGCTGTTTACAACAAAACTCTGAACATTGTTATTCCATTTTAAATTGAGGACAAGAATGTGTTGTATTCAGGGATGATATGACATGTATGGATTTTAGCCGTGTGATGGGATATTATTTTCTCCCAGATATTGTATAAAAATATGCTGCTGATGATCCTAAATTATTAATAATCTCAGAGTTTAATGTGAAGATTCTGGCAGATGGCTAAATCCTCACATAAAATCAACACGGCAGTATTAAAAAGGGATCTCTTTTTGAAAGAAATAACCAGTCAAGTTTTATCAGAGATGTGAGCTTTAGTTTTTTTTCTTCCATGCAAAAACCGTGGTTAGTTCTTTCTGGATTTTGTCCCCTTTTTGTGAAGCCACAGTGGTAACAGTCGTACTCAGAGACACTTGACTTCTCTTGGATGAGAGCAGAGTTTTGTTTTTGTTTTCCCCGAAAAACTGACACAAAAGCTCACTTCAACTCAAGATTGTATTTGGTCTAAGGTGACCTTACAAAACACATTTCTGGTCATAGGATGATGATGATGTAAGGTTGATTCTGGACAGATGGAGCTGTGCTATATGCAAGCACGAGGCAGGGAGCTCTCTTTTCTGTGAAATGTCTAATAAATACTGATGGTTTATTTGAATTCTTTCAGGTCCTGGCCTGGTTTGAGGAGGGAGAGGAAACTATCACCGCATTTGTGGAGCCTTTTGTAATTCTACTCATTCTTATAGCAAACGCTATCGTCGGCGTGTGGCAGGTGAGAGCATAGCGAATCACGGCTTTGCATTTTTATTCGTACTTAATTCTGTTTTTAGACAGTTTGAGCACTATGTCTGAATATCATCAGGGTTTAGTGCATTTTTGTTGAAAAAAAAATCTAATTTCATGAATATGAATGTGGTATTTTTAGCATTTCAAAGCAATGTGTTAAACTACAGTTATATTAGTATTGAAGGCGTGTCAGTGTGAGGGAAAAATCCTAATAAAGCCGAGCTAAATCAGATGCCACCAATGTGACAGACTTCAAATAAATATCCCTTATCAGTTTACTAATAACCCCTATCAGTTTGATCCTGCGTCCAGTGCAGTGTAATCCAGTGCAACATGATCTGATCATCCAAAATGAAAAAACAAGCTCAAACTGGGTTCCCGATCTCCTTCAGAGGCTCGAGTACTGAAATCTACGTAACAGTACTGCATGTTTAATTAAACATTCCTTGTATCTGCGTTACAGCCCCGCTGTGAGTTAGAGGTTTTACCATTAAACTTCACAGGCAATGCAGAAAAACACTGCACTGAAAGTTATTTTTGTCTCAAAGAAGACTTCCTATTCAAAAGGAACAGGCTGCCGGTTTTCATCAGCAGCCTTTCTCTAGTTATTTATTTATTTTCAAACTGTGTGGGTTTGAGTGATGTTTTTCTTGCTGGTGAAGAGTAAGATTGGAAAATGAGAAAATTTAATACACTTAACACCTAAATGTCCCCAAACACAACCCGAGGAGAGATGCACGCACATCCGGCGAGAACAGTCAGTGCCCCTCCAAAGGAAGCGTCCAGCTTTCTGCAATCGTGATAGTTTGCTGTACAGCAACTCAGAAATATTTGCCCTGAATCTCATCTTCTTCTCACCAGGAGCGCAATGCTGAAGATGCCATTGAGGCGCTTAAAGAGTATGAACCTGAGATGGGGAAAGTGTACCGACAGGACAGGAAAACTGTGCAGAGGATCAAGGCCAGAGACATCGTGCCTGGTGACATAGTGGAGGTTGCTGGTAAGTTGACCTGCATCTGTAATGCTTTTATACGCATTGTTTAGGAACAAATAGATTTGGCTTTGACAGACCTCTCTCTCATAAAAGAAGCATCAGGGCATCACATGAACATGATAGAAATAAACCTTGAATTTCACAGAAAATTGGCAATTTAATGCCACAGTTTCACTCTGAAAGAGACTATTTTTCCTTATGGCTTTTTTTTAAATATCAGAGACATCTGGTGTTTTCATAAGATAGCACCTCGTCTGTGTTTGGCTCTGCTTCAGGTAATGGTCAGGTCATATGAGTCCAGGTATGGACATGTATTATTTAGCACATGCTCAGACCTCCCCCATCCCCAAGTGCCACTGCAGCAGCACGGTGACTCACCCTGTAAGGCTGATGTATTTTGAGATTTTCCTATTAACCCATTGTCTCAAAGGGCTGCGCACACATGCTGTTAAGGCCCACTTACTGTAACTGTGCGTGTGAGCTTGCAAAGCTTCTAAAGTGTCATCCCAACTCAACACTTTCCCACCCTGCAGTCAGCGCATTTCAGCAGCTGAAATCCTCAGGATGTAAGGCTTTGGTTTTAATAGTGCAGTTTCCCCTACGGCATACAAACGTATGTAATACTGCAGAGGGATGAACGGGAACGCATGTACGGAGTAATGAGTCCTTCAAACGCTGTCCTGATACTCTGTTTGAACCTAAGCCCCTCAAGTGATGCTTAGCGTTTTGGTGCATCGTGTGGGTTTTATTTTTAGCTTTCAGTATGGATTATAGAATGCTGTATTTATAGAGGCATTGACAGTCGTGAAGATGACAGGTGTCAGCCTCTTCCCCTCCCCTCCTGCTCGGGGGGAACATTGGTACAGCAGGTGACGTGGGACAGTGTTCAGCGGGACTCCTGAGTGACCTTGACAAGGGCACAGAAAGTAGGAGTGATCTGCATTTTAACATCGCATATCCTTCTAGTTGGGATATGTTTCTATACTATATGTAAATTACTTTCTTGACAGTGCTAATCATGACATGTTAATTTAGGTTCATAAGAAGTTGAGTTCAATTTTTGGCTCCGGTTAAAACAGAAACTTGTGAGTCAGATGCTCTCGCATATTAGAGACCTAGTTATTTAAAAACTCTTGATGAAGGTAGCTGGAGGCTTTGCTGTCAGCAGCTTGAGCGCAACCCAGCAGGGAGACGACTTGGATGCTTTATCCCACAGTCAGGAGTTGCTCATCAGCTCTACTTACTCGCTTGATCCTCCAACTATCCTTTACAATGGTTCCTGTCAGGCTCCCTTTTTTAATGAATAATATTTTCCTGAAGCTCCAAAGTGACCTTTGCCATGCAGAGGAGGATTGTGATGACGCAGATGCTGGCTGGGAGGCTGCTTAGCTGAGCTGCGATAGAGGACACAGAGATGAACCCTCTGTGGCTGCCTCAGCCGTGAGAAGAATAACCAGCAGCCAAACTGCACGGCTCTCTGTGAGGCTGCTGCCGCTGTGTGTTTAAACGCTGCCTCCTACTCGCTTATCAGCCTCACAGATGAACTCTTACTGAACATACAGTGGAGATGATTACGTTCTGTTAAATGCATTTTTCAGACGTTTATCTAAAGTAGATTTTTGTGATTGATTTTATTAATCAGACATTTACTATAGCATAAATATGAAGCGGTTTTAAAACGAGCAAATGCTGACATCGCTCAACCTAACTAATCCCTAAAAAGTCACATTGTCAGATAACGTGAAGTCCACTGAACTAAAGTCCTTTGCATGTAGCTGTCAGTTTACTTGCTGCTCTGAACACTCAATTGAAACCTTTTTTCGGCTTTTGGCTCTATTATGACGTCAGTGAGGTGAATATGTAAAGATATTTTTCATCCATCCATATTAAGATATGGAGAGCTCAGGTACACAGCTCTAGCTGTAAGCACAGAAGCCCAATCCACCAGGCGTACAAAGCTTGTGTTTGTGAGGGGAGGGGGATCTTAAACAACTGGTTTCAGACAGGATGAGCTGAGAGTCTCAACCAAGCTCCAGTATGAGCTATATAAATAAATACATTTTGAATGTGAGTCATGCAAAGCTACTCTGAAAGAGTCCAAGAATAAAAAACATGGAGCTGGAAATGAGCGTAATAGCTGCCCCTTAAGGGTTTGCAGATTTGGATGTTTGCCTTTTCTCAGAGCGGCAGAGCTCAGTGTGTTTGTTCCCCGTTGCCTGTGAAATTGTGGAGTCTGGGCTTGTGGAGGGGAGTGCAGGGGGAGGATCTCTCATCTGCTCCTATTGTGCTAGAGAGAGATGACCTTATAGGGAAGTGCTTTGTGAATAACCAAACCGCCCTATCACGCTCAATGCACAGGGACCCTGCCCATCAGCACCGGCACCCTCCACTGAGATTCCAGACACCATGGATAGTATGTGGCATTTAATGTGGTCTGGCAATCGTCCGATGTCACTGAGGGACTGTCTTTTGGCAGAGGCTTCTGACTTTTCAGCAAGGCTGAGAGAAATGGTTTCATCCTGCCAGCCGGAGTAGCGGACTTCAAAAAACTCAACCCTCTGATGTAGACCAGGAGGGTCACAGGGGTTTCATTCAAACTAAGCAGTGCACTGGTTGAGCTTGGGTTGATAGGAGTATGCATGGAAGTGTCTGAATAAATCATGTGTAACAAAGCTGCCTTAAGGTGCGGCGGTCAACCTTGTTTACCTAAACCGCACTCACGGCTGGGAATCTGTTAGTGCAGTTCAAAATGCTTCATTGAAGACTGATGAGCCCTTTAAGACGGAGCAAACATAAATGCTAATAAAGAGAAATAAAATAATAATAATAATTAAAAACAGATAACAAAGCTGTAAGAAGTTTTAAAAATAGCATTACTGTAGAATAAATGAGGGGGAAATAATATAAACCACACAAATAAATGAACTAGACAAAGCAGGTTAAAAAGAACAATGTAGAATAACATTTTTATTTGTAAAATAAATAGTAATTAAATGTATAATTTATTTAATTAATTAGTAAATAACATTTTAGTTTCTCAGTACTTCCACATGCTGAATTACTAACATAAAAATATGAGAAAAACACCTGGGAAATTAGCAGCAGCAGTCTTTGATGTAAGATGAAGCGATAGAAGCAGGCCTGTACATGTTATGCGCAGTATTTAAATTCGTGGAAGGCCGGGACAAGTGCACATTAAATACTGCAGAACTGGTTCAAGGTGGGATGAGATGTCAGACTTTAAGGAACCGCTTTGATGATGTCACCAATGAGCTTTTGTTTGCTCGTGTCACCTTTTATTGATTCAAGCTTTAAAGCCTATATACAAACTGTACTTTTCTTTTTTTTTTTTTTTTTTTGTATACGTCTTGGCCTCTTTCGATGGCAGTGAGTTAAATGTCCACATCTTTGCATGTTTGAAGTAGGCTGTGGTAAATACTCATGTAAATTATTATTATTATGGTTGGATCTATTAGATCAGTACCTGATATGGCATTGTTCTCAGCTCCAATTTAAAATTGCAATGCCAAACATATGGAATTCCTACCATCCTCTGCTTGGCTAATTTTGGCTGGAACTTTAGTGCTCCTGGTCCTGGGATAAGATTTGTTACTATGGCAAGAGAAACACTTGCATGCTATGAAGAGCTCCAGCCAGCTGCTGCTGCTTAAGATTCATACCAGACAAAGAGCAGCAGAGATCCCAGGGAGACAGTGTGGAGATGGTGCTTGCATAACCGGGGTCAAAACTTGACACGTGTTTTGCATCTGTGACAACACAGAAGCAGGAAGTTAGAAAAATGTCACTTCTTAGATTATATTCATATCTCTCTCACCAGGCAGCAGCTAACTAAGCATCACTTACTCAGGTCTTGTTTGCTGATCAGGGAAAAAACACAACTGAATCTCACCCATTACTCTGGAAATGTGCTAGTGCAATGGCCAAAGGGCAAAGGAGACATTGGTACAACAAACTGTCCTTGCAAAAAGTAAACTTGCACAAATGAGACTGGTCGGTTAGGTTTCCCTGCTTTGGACTTCTTCCATTGTTGGTCCCAAATAGAGTAGCAAACTTTTAAACCCAATGAAAGGTTAGTGGCTTATCTGTTATAAACCATTTGCTAATACCGGATCAGTTTGCATAAATATGTAAATGCAGACGGTGAGGTAGTTAGTCAGAGATGTGCTGGAAAGCTGCATTAAGCTTTGCCTGCTGACTCTTCTGAAACAGCCCACTCTACATGACAGGAGCTCAGGCTTTTGTTCAGCTGCCATCAGCACATGTAGCCTCCTGGCCGGCCCCAAGGAAGCCTGGCCAGCATAACCACTCGCTGTCCCTGAACGCACAGCAGGTGCAAGTGCCAGTCAAAGCTGGTACTTTCAGTTCAGTCATTGCTTTGCCTGTTCTGTTTGTAAGGCACCTCTGGGAGTCATATTGGTGGCGATGTATCACCAGGTCTTAGCTTTCGCCACCGTTAAATTTGCAAACCGTTTGAGCCATTGGCAAGCCCTGAGGTGAAGACGTGGTCATGCCTCTGGAAATGCTTGGACTGCTACCAAGTAGGATGTTGACACAAAGGGACAGATGATATATACTCGCTTCACCAGAGCAGGCCTGCAGTGTAACACAGCCTCAAGACAGGTCCAGTGTGTCACGGCGTCACAGAGCACTGGTTACTTTGCATGAGAACATCAGTAGGAACCTTTGTTAGCAGGCTGGCCCTCTAGCTCCTGGTGTCTTGGCTCAGCACTCCTTAAGAAGTTTGTATTTCTTTGAAAGTAATGACGTGACACAGGAAGTGTTACACAGCCAGAAAGGATGCAAGTTTGAGTAAAAGTTAGGTATGGGCAATTCTTTAATTCAATTCTAATGAAATTATTTGACATCTATAATTGAAGTAAAGTGTTACAGCTGTGTAACTAGGACAGTGAATTCAGGGGGCAGCCTTCAGCTCTTCCATATGTGAAGTGTTTTGCTCATTGATTTGTAGCTGACATTTGGTCGCTGGATGCTCCAGGCTCTGGTTGCATAGTTACCCGTGTAATGAATTCCTTGCCCTCGTATAGCTGTCCCTGTTGGTAGTCGCTTCAATTCTTTAGCTCAAAGTTTAACTTCATGTTGCTAATGGTTATTTCTCCTGCCATTGCTACAAGTCGGTGAATTTCACTGACATTTCACGGTCTCTGGTTTGCACATTGTTCTGTGAAAGCTCCCCTTTGGTTTCTAATGTGAAATGTCTTTGAGCCTGTGTCAGGCCATTTGATTCAGGTGCGTGACCTTCTCATAAGCAAATCTTCCATTGCACGTCTGTTTCCACATTGAGATAGTTTAAAGATGCAGCTGAGCTCAACATTTGTCTTCTCAGAAATCCTTTCATTGTCTGCCTTAATTGGCCAGTGCCTGCTGACAGATGAGTGTTTCTGGCACTCGGATGAGTTGATGATCATCCAACTTTACATAGGGTCATGCCTCCCAGTGAGAAATCAACCTTCACAGAGCAGGGGGCTGGAGTACACATAACTAGAGCAAGGGTCTGCATTGGATTAGACTGTATAGATGCACTCATAAAATATGTTTGCAGCTTCTATTCCAAACATCTATAAGAAACTCCAAGGTAATGCAGACGAGTTGCTCCTGTGTTCTGCATCTTGCCTGTCTCTTCCTGTGGCAATGATGAGAACATGTCTGCCATCGTAGGGCCACATTTAAACCAGATCAGCAGATTGGGAAACAGGTTGAAATTCTTTTTCCTTTTTTGGCTGCATGCGTCAGTGGTCCCATTGCTATTTACCCCCCCTCTCCTCCTTCAAGGCCAAGGCTGGTTTAGCCATACAATACCTGTCTCCCTCAGTCTGGATCTGGACACTGGTACATTTGATAAAAATCACTATTTGTTTTTGGGTGAGTTTCCACTTCAGCCTTGTTTAGATGTTTTGTTACATTCTTAGATATTTGGCAGCCTAGTGCCGTTTCCTGGATTCTAGCTATATTGTATTCAAGGAGTCTTTTGTAACAATGTGACACAATTTACATTTTTAACTAAGTAGGCCTGTATAAGTAGACTACACCCACAGAACTGTGCCATAGCCTGAGCCATTTCCCCAGTTTCCATTGCCTTTATGTAAGATTAGGAAGCTGAATTGGGTCACTGCAGTTCTGATGTACCCAAATTGGCCATTTCCTTTGAGACTAGCCTTTTATGGCTCACAAGTCCTTCATTTCCTTCTGTCTTTGGTTCTTCTTCTCTATCCTACACCAATGGCAGCACTCCTTTGCTGCTGTGAGGCATAACAACCACGCTATAGTGAGCTGTGGTTCATAAATTTAGTTTACTCTAAAGCAGAGTTACTGCCTGTAGAAAATAAACACCTTCTCATCTGTTAAATCTTCATTTGGCCAGTACACCCACCCACAAATGGTACTGTACAAGGAATGCATGGGTGGAGAGTTAAGAGTGCCCTTTCTCCTTTGTTGTTAGCTTTTGTTTTTTGATTGGATGTGTGATTGAAATCTTTCTCTCACGTGCTAAATCGTTTAGCTTTGAATGTATCCTGGAACTCGTTTGGAGGTAGGCTTTAGCGAAGTGACTGATTCACTGCCTAAGAATTTATGTCTGCCTTTGTCACGCCCTGAAGAAGACACAAGCCCCTGCACATCGATGCTCTTATAACAGGGAAACAGCATATTAACTGGCAGCAATCAAAACATGTACTGTTAGAGTAGGTTGAGCTGCAGTTACTCCAGACATGCTCACTAAAGTATGGGACAAGTTTGAGTATTGCATAGATGTTTGCAGTGTTTTGTAGGTGAAAGTTCATATTTAGCCATATATGTTAAAATTTACCACAAGCTTCTATGTCCGTTACTTAATAAGATGTAGCCTTTTGAAATCGGATGATTCTTTTTAATAAACCATTTACTGCTGAGCCATGCTGATGATAGATGTGCAATACTAGGTTTTACATTATCTTCCTGAAATAGGCAAGAACTTCACTGAAAAAGACCTTTTCTTAATTGCAGCTTCAGTGGTGTCTTCACTGATGCACAAGTCATCCAGGCTTTGCGCACTAATTCACCCATCCCTGTCACAGATGTTGACTTTAACTTGTATGCTCCACTCTTTTTGCATTTAATGTCCATAGTTTGTGGAACTCATTTAATATTTGGTTTAATCAGATCAGAGGAAAGTTTTGAACTTTGCTCCAGTCCATCTTAAATTAGCTCAGGCCCAGACAAGGTGGCAGCATTTCTGAATCTGGTTTACATTACATGTAATGAGTTTTAACTGGGATTTGTGGATGCAGCAACAAACTGGGTTCACTAACAGTTTCTTCCTGAGGCCATGAAGTTATTGCCTCTAGAGAGAAGTGTCTGTTTCCAATGTAGCTCCTCATAATTGCCCCAAGATAACTACTGCTGTCAGTTTTGTTCCTTATATGCATAGATTGCAATGTATTTTCTCTAAATCTTTTAATATAATTAATCAACTTTAGATGATTTGTAACAATTTTCAGTAGCATTATCTTTGGTTTGATATTTGTATTTGTTCTCCTCATATTTATTTGTATGGGTTTTTCCTCTCTCTCTAATTATGGATCTGCTTTTTGTAGTTGGAGACAAGGTGCCCGCTGACATCCGCATCTGTTCAATCAAATCCACGACCCTCAGGGTAGACCAGTCCATCCTGACTGGTAAGATATTTTTGCTGATGGCAGACATCAAAGTTGACATTTTTTAATTATTTGAATGCTAATCCTTATTAAGTAATGGATAGATAGACTAAAGCTTACCTAATGACAAATGTTATTTTATTCTCTTAGAATAACTGCCCTATGAGATTGTTAATTCATTTTTTTTTTAAGCTAAAACACAAGTATCACCACAAAGCCTTTAAAGTAATTTAAACCGAGGTCAGTCAGTTTGTCTGAATAAATGGTCAAAAAACAAAATTCAACTTGGTCGCTTTGAGTAACTGATGAACAGAATGAGCCCAGAGGTCTGCTGTGACGCTCTTCCCACTTAACACCTTTTTCCTCTGAGACATTCATGTGAATCATCACTGAAAGATGAATAACCAGCACTGCAGATTTGCCTGTGGAGACGACTGGCTGAGCGTTCTTCCTTAAATCATCTACAGAAGAATGCAAGCCGGTTTAACCCTCCTCTGTCCTCGTAGGTGAATCTGTCTCTGTCATCAAACACACCGACCCCGTGCCTGACCCTCGCGCCGTCAATCAAGACAAGAAGAACATGCTCTTCTCTGTAAGCCCGAGTCTGCATGAGTTATCACACACATCCTGCTGATTCCTATTACTTCTTATGTGTTTAGCTTCTGTACACTTCCTGGAAAAACAAGTTTCTGTTATTTGAGGATGTGCGCGATGATATCAGTTGCACTTGAGCCAACACGTATGTGACATGTTCTTTCAGGGTACCAACATTGCTGCAGGGAAGGCTGTGGGTGTGGTTGTTGCCTCTGGCGTTAACACAGAAATTGGTAAGATCCGTGACGAGATGGCAGCCACGGAGCAGGAGAAGACGCCCTTGCAGCAGAAGTTGGATGAATTCGGCGAACAGCTATCCAAGGTCATTTCCATTATCTGCATCGCCGTGTGGATCATCAACATCGGACACTTCAATGACCCCGTCCACGGAGGCTCCTGGATCCGTGGAGCTGTCTACTATTTCAAGATCGCTGTGGCGCTGGCTGTGGCTGCCATCCCTGAAGGTCTTCCCGCTGTCATCACCACCTGCCTGGCCCTGGGCACTCGCCGCATGGCCAAAAAGAACGCCATCGTCCGCAGCCTGCCCTCTGTGGAGACTCTGGGCTGCACCTCTGTCATCTGCTCTGACAAAACAGGAACCTTGACAACCAACCAGATGTCTGTTTGCAGAGTGAGTTTATCTCTCCCTCACACACACACACAGAAACAGTGTTTTTGCATTACTGAGCAGGTTGGTCGTCAGTCCTTTGTCGTATTTGTTGTCCCTACTTTATGTTTGGATAAGGTGACAGCAGTTTCTTCCATTTATCTATAAAATGCTAATGCTCTCTGTAAGCAGAGAAATGGTAGTTTCTGGTTATTGAGCGAGAAGGCAGCTCGCTTTCACTGCTCTAATCTGCATCGAGCAGTTAGATGACTTACACTACTGCTGTTGCATAACTGACCTTGCGTCACCAAGCTGCAAAGCAGTGAGCTTGTAGTTTCTTTTTCTTCTCTTCCCCTCTCTCTCTCTCTGTGAGTGGCACCTCTGTGCTACTTGGCCCCACATAAAAAGGACATTTCAGCATTTATTAAAGTTTAATCCCCTTTAGTTGTCTGTTCACTGCTGTCTCAGAACTTTGCCACCCTTATTCAGGCTGTGCCATTCATTTACAGTTGCTGTCAGTTGTTTCAGTCCCTGCACATTGAGTTGGCCGTGATTAAATAGCCTTGTGATTCTGCAGTTACTGTAGTGACTTATCGTAATTCACACAGAGTCGGGACACGCAAACAAAAGCCTTTAAAGAGGTGTGCTCACTGACTTTACACTCATGGTTACTAATAAAAAGCAACGTCTCATTCACTTGAATCGTTTATTACAGATATACATTTGCACCCAACATTTTACAATAAAATAATAACAACATAGCAAAAACACCATCTACATTCATGCAGCCTAAATGTAGTTTGTGATTGTACGTCCTTTTTATTAAATCCTTTTCTGACAGGCCACGATCATTCCTGTAAGTGTTCAACTGGTTACTGAAATAATTAATGGATTGCCTGTTTGCTCTAAATATACTGCAGCAGGGCAGTGCCAGGATTTTATGTCTGGCTAGTCATTGCAGGAGGGCTTGCTGATAGTCTTCATCCATTTTCTGATATAAGCAGCCTCTGTCTAGCCCTGTTTGTGTGTATACTGTGTGGCTTTGTACATCTTTGTTTGTGAGTGAGCGAAATGATCAAAGCTTCCTGCGGGAGTAGGCCTGGCACTGCGGCGTCTTCCTTTTGGGCACAGCTTCTCTCTTTAGTCAGGCTCCCTGGCAGCTTCTTCTGTTTACTTATGGAGAGAAACTAAACAGCCTTTTCTCACATTAGGCAGCAGGCCACCCAGCCTGCCCCTCACAGAGACACACTCTAACATTGCAGCCAATTTACTGTCATTTTTTTCTGCTGCAACAGTTATTGTGTACTTTTAATATGAGCTGTAATAAAGAAACAAATCAAGTTTTTGCGACCACATCCCCCCATTGCTTTCAGTCTGTGGATGAGTGTTCATGTTCTCCGCTGTGATTTTTCAGGTTCTGAGTGCTTTCATTGTTTTGTTTTGTTTTTTTAAAGTTGTCTCCCCCAGTTGTTTCTGGTTTAGCCTTTTAGTTTTTCATAGGCTAACTTTGAAGAATATGAAGAAGTTTGCTTCCTCATTCAAAAGGTCACAAAAACTAATGTTTTTCTGTTGGTGTAAATTATATTTTTATATAATATACTAATTTGATTATTGCTTTTTTTAACCTCTGAATATTTCTTGTATATGTAAAAATATCTTTCATCTTGTGTGACACAAAGGGAATCGTCCGCATTAAGAATCTCACTTTAGCTACAGCGTCTCCTTAACTCAAGAGGTCTTCAGCTTTGGTCCCCTCTCAGCACAAATGAATCAAAATAATCATGCCTCACGTCTTAACCTGCATTTGTAGATCAGATGTGGAGGAATGCATTGAAAAAGAAATCTCTGCAATGCATTTATTTTCATCACCTCAGTTTTTGTGCCAGTCCAGATAGAAGGCAGTGGTTGGGCTTCAATCTCCCTGAATCTTGAATCTGGGTATAATTTGTTTTAATTATCTTAAATTATTTTACTATCACAGCTCCCAGATATTTGACTGTTATTACCTTCCAATTAATCTTTTTTTTTCCTCTCATTTTTTGCTCAGAAGATTCATTTAATGAAAGGATTTTGAGTCTCTGTTAGATTTCATTCGCAACCTCAATACTTGCCAAAGTCTTCTAGGATAACAGACAAACAATAGCATCATCTGCAAAGAGCCTAATAATATAATCTTATTTTTTTCCTTTAATGTATTCGAGTTCACTTGGAGGTTTTGTGGTTTGACAATAAAGACTCTGGTATTTCAGTCAAACCCTGATATGATCTGTGTGATGTCTTCTAATGTCCCATGGACTCTTCTCATTTCCAGATGTTCATTGTCAACAAAGCTGAAGGGGACAACTGCTCTCTGTCAGAGTTCACCATCACAGGTTCTACCTACGCCCCCGAGGGTGAAGTGTGAGTATTTTATAGCTTCTCCATAACTGGCAGATCCTTAAATACATGGAAACATGATGTTCTGTACTTGTCCTCAGGTACCAGGATGGTAAACCAGTGAAATCCTCCCACTATGATGCTTTGGTTGAATTGGCCACAATCTGTGCCCTGTGCAATGACTCCTCGCTGGACTTCAACGAGGTCTGCACCTTTCCTGCTGCTTATTTTATGTGTTTTAGTGCAGTTTTCAGTTCTGGGGGAAAACGATTACATATGACTGCCTGTTTTGCTGCTACCCTTCTGTACATTTGGATTTAAGTGAAATAATCTTTTTATGTTCGCTTATAGACTGTATATGAAAGATAGATGTAGCTTCCAGGGTTGAAAAATTCATAAAATTTTAATCTCAGCTGTGATTTTTGGCATCCCACAACTAAATGAGCACAACCGAGTGGTACTGGTCATGTGTGCTACACCAACAGAGCGCAAACCAAAGTCTAGTGCTACACAAATCATTGCTTGATGACACCCGCATGAGCCAATCACAACTTTTCCGTTGATATTATTAATATACTACAAATAACAGACATTCAGAACAGTCATGATCATTTGCAATACTTCAGATTATGGGCAAATGATGTTTGGAAGAAATGCAAAAACACACTGCAAACTCCAGCATGATGAATTAATGAGGCAAACTAAAACAAAGCAATGGTTGCTAGCATGGATCGTCCAACTTCAGCTCATAAACGGGTCTGTACAGTGTATCCATCGAGCTCACAAAGGCACTGAAATCACCAAAGCAGTCGCACTCCATTTGGCAAAGATATGTGTAAGCTAAACACAGTGAGTAATTAAGGCTTGAGATCCATCATGCAGGTATCGTGAATGATGGAAAACACTATATTTTGCCAGGTGAATAAACACTTTATTCGTCTACAAAGATTAATGAGCAGGAATGTAGCACAATGTCACAGCTCCCCTTCACTCATCATCGAAACAACTACTGGTAGCCTTAACGATGGCTAAATCCTTCTTTGATGCACAGTCTTTGAGCAAATTTAAGATGTTATAGAAAAGAAATGAGTGAAAGTTTGGATGTTTCAGGTGAAGGGGGTGTACGAGAAGGTCGGCGAGGCCACGGAGACCGCGCTGACCTGTCTGGTGGAGAAGATGAATGTCTTCGACACTGAAGTTCACAACCTGTCAAAGATTGACAGAGCCAATGCTTGCAACTCAGTGAGTGACATCAGCTCCCTCACTTGCATGCGCTGCACATTCCCACCGTTCGTGCTCAGCAGCTTTTTCTCACTCTCTGTCTCTTTGTCTGATCAGGTGATCAAACAGCTGATGAAGAAGGAGTTCACCCTGGAGTTCTCAAGAGACCGGAAGTCCATGTCTGTCTACTGCAGCCCAAACAAGTCCCGCTCTACCATGGGCAAAATGTTTGTGAAGGTATACCCAGTGTAATACGTGCAGATGTTCGATCTGCATTCGCTGCAGTCTTCTGCTGTGTTGTTAATGTTTTATGCCTCTCTTCTTCCTCACAGGGAGCCCCAGAGGGAGTCATCGAGAGATGCACTCATGTCAGAGTTGGCAACAGCAAAGTTCCCCTCAGCCAAGGCATCAAGGAAAAGATCATGTCTGTTATCCGTGAGTACGGGACAGGTCGCGACACCCTGAGGTGCTTGGCTCTGGCCACACGAGACAGCCCACCAAAAATGGAGGACATGATACTGTCTGACACTGCCAAATTCATCGAGTATGAGGTGGATATACATTTGCGTAATCTACTTGTAGCACATTCTTTTCAGGAGCAGACTTTCATTTGAATCTTTGTCTCTGTGTCCAGTCCGACCTGACGTTTGTCGGCTGTGTCGGCATGCTGGACCCTCCCAGACAGGAGGTAGCTGCTTCTATCAAACTGTGCCGGCAGGCTGGCATCCGCGTCATCATGATCACCGGGGACAACAAGGGCACAGCTGTGGCTATCTGCCGCCGCATCGGCATCCTGACCGAGGAGGACAATACTGAGCACATGGCTTTCACTGGACGGGAGTTTGATGAGCTCACACTCGATGCCCAGAGGGAGGCTGTGACTTGTGCGCGCTGCTTTGCGCGCGTCGAGCCTTCACATAAATCCAAGATCGTTGAGTTCCTGCAAGGATTCGATGAAATCACTGCTATGGTATGAAGTTTGTCGTACTGATCAAAACTGCCCATTTCTGCGTGAATGGTTCATTCTCTTGGCTTTGTAAGGGTCGTGTTGATTGGGTTGATTTGCTGGTGTTACTGAAGAAAAAGGCAACACTTACTATAAAGAACATGTTTGTGTACAGACCGGTGACGGGGTGAACGATGCCCCTGCGCTGAAGAAGGCAGAGATCGGCATCGCTATGGGCTCTGGCACTGCCGTGGCCAAGTCAGCCTCTGAGATGGTCCTCGCTGATGACAACTTCTCTTCCATAGTGGCTGCCGTTGAAGAAGGCAGAGCTATTTACAATAACATGAAGCAGTTCATCAGATACCTTATCTCTTCCAACGTGGGTGAGGTCGTCTGGTGAGTCTTCTTCAGAGGAGATTAGAGCTCTTTATTGCTCAGTCTTCTGTTTTTTATGAAGCTGAGAAAAAAAGCTGTCGTTTTACAGCTTTACGTTCACACAGCAATGCTGTTGCTAAATTTAAGGTCATATTTGCTCCAGTTTATCATTAGCACTTTCTGACTGGAATAGTTTCTCCTGACAGCATCTTTCTCACTGCGGCTCTGGGGTTCCCTGAGGCCCTGATTCCTGTCCAGCTGCTCTGGGTCAACCTGGTGACAGACGGCCTCCCTGCCACCGCCCTTGGCTTCAACCCCCCAGATCTGGACATTATGGAGAAGCCTCCTCGCAATGCTAAGGAGCCCCTGATTTCTGGCTGGCTATTCTTCAGATATCTGGCTATTGGAGGTTGACTAAAATTGAGCAGGATTTGAGCTGTCTTGTTTTTTTTTTTGTTGTTTTTTTTCCTGCAGTACATCCAGTGAGTAATATGATGATTTTGCTGTCTTTGCTTCCAGGCTACGTAGGTGCTGCCACTGTGGGAGCTGCTGCGTGGTGGTTTACAATCTCTGATGATGGACCACAGGTCACTCTGTACCAGCTGGTAAGTACGTCTGTCTGAGAGAACATCCTTCAGCTTCCCTCCGCTCTTTGCCTCCCCCTCACTCTCCCCTCTTCCTCCACACAGAGCCACTTCCTCCAGTGTGGCCCAGACAACCCAGAGTTTGATGGCTTGGACTGCCACGTGTTTGAGTCACCCTACCCGATGACCATGGCCCTGTCCGTGCTTGTCACCATTGAGATGTGCAATGCTCTGAACAGGTAAGGGTATTTTTAAAGAGTGGAGGAGTTCTCATGAAAGAACCATTTGCAATGACACGATGATAGACAGATTGTATAACCAGATCCACAATCTGTGCGCTCCCTCCTGTCCAGCCTGTCAGAGAACCAGTCCCTGCTGCGGATGCCTCCCTGGGAGAACATTTGGCTGCTAGGGGCCATCTGTCTCTCCATGTCTCTCCACTTCCTCATCCTCTATGTGGAACCTCTGCCTGTAAGTTTAAAAAATAAGAACAGTGTGTTCATGACTTGATGACATTGGCACAAGTCAAAGTGATCTGTCTGCTGCAGTTTTGGTCTTTATGTGGATTATGATGCCCTCTAGTGGCCATTTATTATTGTTTGTTAGGGGGAAAATTACCTTGAAAGGTGGAGCATGAGGGGGGGAAACAGATCCAAATAACTTTATTTGACCTCCTAGGACCTGGTGTCCACATATGGACATCACATTTTGGGTTGTCTAGACCACAACACTAACTTTTGCTCTACGAGGGCCTGATGTCCTCTTCTCTGAAACTACATTGGCTAAAAAGACAATTCTTTATTTTTACATTCATCAGGTCCCGATCAGCCCAAATAGCAAAGAGAAATTAAAAATGCATGCCATGAAAGAGTTTGGGTCTTAGGAGGTTAAAGTGGAAATTCACTCCCAGTTCAGGCTAACGTTACCGGCTGCATAGCTTTGAACATTAAAAATGTGGGATGGAGCAGGCGTGGATATGTGAGGCCAGTTTCTCTGTAACATTTAAAGTGAAAAATGATGAGCAACACAGAATCACAAGGCACCGCTGCCACAGGGGGATCTTTGGACATGGAGGGCTTTCCCTCCATAATCCTCTGAAGTGGACATCAGTGTGGTGAAGTACCATTTGTATCCAGGCCAAACTGATTAGAGCCTTTGGCTTCAGCTTCAGAATGCTCAAAGATGAAGCTCTCAGAGCTGAGGCAATGCGAGTGCAAGAGAGGGATATGACTGCTGGTTTGGAGGGAAAGAGAGCAGTCTGCTGGTACTTTACAGACTTTAAAAGCAAAGTGTTAAACAAAGTGCCAACATTTAAAAATAAATAATTAGTAAATAACAGTGTAAACTCCTGCAAAAGATGAATATCCATTAGTATACTTTCCATAGTTAGAGCCACTTACAAGCGAGGGATGGGGTGTGGATGGCCCACCTGTGATTACTGGGTGTTGTCAGGATGGGCTTTGGAAGTTTAAGGATTATTTAAAACAGCAGATGCCAGATAGAGCCATTTTCATCTGAAATGTAAATTTGTGTTTTTTGGAAAGAAATATCAATACTACACCAGTACTGATGAATTTGATGACAGTACAGTACTCTCTGACTGCCCTACATTTTCAGATACTTCATAGAAATTATTGGGACCACCAACATAAAAAAACATAACTCTGTATATGTTAGACATTTTATCTGGTAGGGAATAAACACCCAGGTGATCTCTTCACCGCTGTTTCCCATCTTTGAGGCTGACCATCTCCTGTGTCCAGCTACACATTGAGTGTACTGACATAAGAGCCGTGTTGATCGATCGACTCTGAGCTCATCACAAAGCAGTGTATTTTTATAAAAGCTGAATAAACGTCACCACACACTTCTTACGGTCATGTAGAAAACATTGGTAGAGTTTTATGTGTTACCCATGCGGTGATAATCCTCATAAATCTTTATCTCGCTCTCTTTAAAAAGCAGCTGTAAGTTATTTGCTTATTCCCTCCCAGGTCATCTTCCAGATCACCCCTCTGGATATGACCCAGTGGTTGATGGTGCTGAAGATCTCGATGCCCGTCATTCTCCTGGACGAGCTGCTTAAGTTTATGGCCAGGAACTACTTGGAATTCGGTAAACAACTGGAGAAGCCGACAAGCAAAGGCTGCTCTCTGTCTGCATGCGCCGAGGGAATCTCCTGGCCCTTTGTGGCCATCTCCCTGCCCCTGGTGCTGTGGATCTACAGCACCGACACTAACGTGTCTGCCATCTTGTGGCCCTGACTGACTCCAGTACACTACCCTCCTTGTGCACCAGTGTGAAGTGGACATTAACGCACACATCTAACACAGTTACATTAACTCGGAACAAATTACAGCAACAGCATTTACACCTTCTCCAACCGCTGTCAGAACGCCTCTGTTAAGTACATTTAGACTTGCACATATTTTTGGGTGGCCGGTGCTCGAGTAATATTTTACCGACATGATTTATGTTCCATGTTACCATTGTGCTTTTCTCTGTTTTGACCCCCTTTGAGAATAGCTAGAGAAGCCCACTGCGTTGGAGCGACATGTTGAGCTGTACAGAGAGAATTTATTTACTATTCTGTAATAATTAATATTTTATAATTTGGGGAATGGAGATTTCTGAGGACTGCGTAGTTTAGTTCAATACTAATTTAGGGGCAAAGACTTTCAGCAGAATACATTTGCCCAAGCATGAATCACATTTTGCATCGTACTCATTCATTATTTTCTGCAGTAGGCAGAGCACAGCTACCTCAGTGCTGCTGATTTGACCATAATGACCCATTTGTCCAAGCTGTCATTTCATATGTGATCATTTGAAGTGTTGAGGTAAGCACCAGTAGAGTCAAAATCTTCACATGTATTTTAATGTGCATATATATATATATATATATATATATGGAGAGAGAGAGATATATAGATATATCTATCTATATCTAGATATAGATCTATATCTAGATATAGATAGATAGATATTTTTTTGTGTTCCTCTGTTATTTGAGGGAAGAGGGGACAAAGACATGTTACCAGCTTGATTTTGAGTAAATTCTTGGTACAGCCTGTTGTTAAATTTATTTACTTGAAGAAAACACATTTGTCTGTGTTGTGTGTGTGTGTGTGTGTGTGCGTGTGTGTGGGGGGGGGTTGTTGTTTTTGGGTTGTTGTTGTTTTTTTTGTTTTGTTTTTTTAAAGTTAAATCTATGAGATTCATTCTAAGGTTTCAGTCCTAATTTTGTGTGTTAACGACAGTAATCTTTATGTATGTAAAATGTGCACATACTGTACTTGAATATGTAAAAAGGCACCAAGAAGCTGTTAGTCTTGCAAACTGAGCACAACGTGGACGGTTTGATAGGCGCTCAGACCTCTGATTGGCTGCTGTCGGAGGCGTGTGTATATCTGTACATAGAACACGAAGTAGACTCTATACATTTCATTTCTTCCTGCATACATTCACACCCGTTTACTCAAGCGTAGCCTTTCTGCATGCGCGCTCCGATAGACCAGAGAGTGTTTTTTGTTTTTTAATTTGAAAAGCTAACTGTTGTTTCTTCCCACGCCTTCCCCCTATTTACCTGCAGAGTGAGTACACTTTGACGTGCATGCTAACTACTGCCGCGCTCTCGTCTGTATGGTGGTTGCACACACAGCTTGTCAGTCTGTCATTGCTCGTGTCGAAATGACAGCAATAACTGCTCCTTGTGTTTTATCATGTAAATACTTTAAATGGTACAAAAACAGGAGCTTATAATGTCACTAAGTGCCAGATGCACACTGAGCAGAAATGGGAACCTTGTGCATTTTTAAACAGGCTCAGTGTTACTGCTGGTGCCGCTTATTTTTGAATGTAGGCTTGCAGCATGTTTGGGCAACTGGCAGAGATGCTGGCATTTAAACGCCCCCACACCGTTACAGGACACGGTGTTGTATGTATTTCTTTTTTTGAACTGCATTTGTATGAATCTTCTGCCCTCCTTTATTGCATGGCCTTTATTACTCTGAAATTCATTGAAATGATCTGCTGCTCAGATGCTTTTTACCTTGTTTTGTGATTTCTCGTGTCCATTGATCTGTTTCTTCCTGTCTCCTCTTCTTTTCTTTTTTCCCTTTACAGCAAAGTCCAAGTAAGCCCATCTCTCCTGTAAATTCCTAGCAGAAACTTTGGTTTGGTTTTGTGTTGTGCATGTGTGTTTTTCAGCACATCTTACAAGAGCTGAATGCCAGTGAAGTGATGACAGGGGCTCAGAAAGTTCACACATCATTTTTACAGAATGCCCATAAATGAATGTCTGATAGAAACTAGCCAGTTCCGCCTCATCGGTCCTTCCATCCTCCTGCATGAAGAGCCTTAGATTGCCATACAGTCCTCATGCCTTCATTTTAGACTAAGAGCTTAGTACCTTGTACAGTCAGTTGTACATTATTCTATGGTGCATGTCTGCTCAGTCAGCCATCTGTTTTACCAGACAAATGTAATAGATTATGTATAAGTTCAAAAACACAGTTCATCTTTCCTAAGGAAATACTTTTATGAGATAATAGATTTTGCTTTTTGCTTTACACTGAGATGAGCAGATTTTTTTTGCCAAATCTGGGAAGGCAGGTGTGCAGCGATGCTGATGTTTTACCCTTTTAACGGCAGGCGGTCCCTCCACTGGCATTTTTTGCCAAACTGCTGTACTGTATTTTCAGAAATGATTGTACAACGTATCACATGGACTTTGGTTTCAGGTAAATAAAATTAAAACTGTCATACACTAAGAGTTTGTCGCTGAGTTTTTACTGCTGTCCAGGACGACTGTAACAGGCCACAACAGTATGACTTCATTCTGGAGCAGGGGTGCACAATCCCAGTCCTCGAGAGCTACCGTCCTGCAGCTTTTAGATGCATCCTTCTTCTGACACACCTGAATCAACTGAATGACTTGTTATCAGGCCTTTGCCAAACTTGATGGCATGCTGAAGAGGTAATCACACCATTTGATTCAGCTGTGTTGGAGTAGGGATGCATCTAAAAGCTGCAGGATAGTAGATCTCGAGGACTGGGATTGGGCACCACTGTTCTGGAGCATCAGTTTAATTTATTTCTGTTGGCTACCAGTTGTTAGCTCATCATTACCTTCAGAAAAGATGTGCTCAATACTATAAAATGCCTTTTTAGGAATGATCTCAACGCAGCTGTGATCCTGATGCTGGCTGGAGATATGAAGCAGCTGGAATTGAACAAAGGGAAGGGATGTGAATCAACATTTGAATTAATGTGTTTCAGCATCTCATCCCACTCCGTATCTGACCCAAGCCTGTTAAAATAAATTTTACTCTAAAACTAACCTAAATGTGAGGAAAAACTATCTTATGAAATAAAGGAAATGATTTTCAAAATAAAGATTAAGCTAATAAAAAGAATGTGCGGTTTTGGAGGAATGTGTGAGCACCCTTGTGCAAATATTTAGTGAGACTCCAGAGTCCACCTTAAATCCAGCCCCCCTGACACACTCCATTTGAAACCCCTCCTGCACAGCTAGAGCAGAGCGGAAGAAGCCTTAGGATTTTCAAAATAAATGGTAAATGGCCTGTATTTATATAGCGCCTTACTAGTCCCTAAGGACCCCAAAGCGCTTTACATATCCAGTCATCCACCCATTCACGCACACATTCACACACTGGTGATGGCAAGCTACATTGTAGCCACAGCCACCCTGGGGCGCACTGACAGAGGCGAGGCTGCCGGACACTGGCGCCACCGGGCCCTCTGACCACCACCAGTAGGCAACGGGTGAAGTGTCTTGCCCAAGGACACAACGACCGAGACTGTCCAAGCCGGGGCTCGAACCGGCAACCTTCCGATTACAAGGCGAACTCCCAACTCTTGAGCCACGATCGCCCTTAAGTAAAAAAAAAAATAAAGCATCACCTATTCAATCAGCTCAACTTTAATGTGTTTGGTAACTTATTTGCTTACTGTTCATTGTGGGTCTATGAATGTACCCTGTTGAGCTGTTTTTGCTTCTTCGCCCTCTGACTGAGCAGAGATATGGAAGAGAGAATGAACACACTGATCACCTGGTGATGATAATTTATAAGCAAGTGGGATGACTTTAGAAACAGCTCTGTGCACATCAGGTGTTTCATTATTTTATTATACATTTTAAAAATATGTACAAAATACTATAAAGTTTTGTTTTGAAATGATAAACTAAAATATTCCAAGTTATGTTATTTTGATACAGAAGGCAGACCTAATGGACGACACAAACACACACAAATAAGCTGAACTATTACATGACACAAAAACAGGTTTTAGAAAATTCATACAACAGATTTTAAAGAGCAGCAGAAATTCAATGTCACTTCTGGTATATGTGTGACCTTTATTGTGACACTTCAACACCCACCCACTGCCTCCTTTGTTGTAAACGTGTCCCAAAATAAAAATATTACACAAGTCATAGTAACTCCAGTCCTTTTTTTTTTTTAAACTTCAAACCACAGTTTACTGAATCACCGTCTAATTTTAAACAAACTTCAGCTGCTCATTTACTTGCATCCTCCATTCCTGGGAACAACCTCTCAATGCAGGATACATGACTCACTATAAATAAAGTCTTTTTTATTTTTAAATGTCTTTGTGGTGTATTGTGAACTGGCTGACAGGCAATAATGCTATGCATCAGACCTCAGAGTGACACTGCTGAGACTGTCAGACTGATGGGAAACAGCATTGGGGTCAAAGAAAAAAAAAAAAAAAAAATGACTGGAGTTCTGCATCAAGCTGCATTTTAATAAAAGTTCTGACGGCTTCCTGTAGCTGTACTGCAAAGTTGAGCATCAGTTCATCCAGGGGCGCAAGCATTAATTGTTGTATTTAAGGTCTTAGCCGTGTTGTCGTCTTTAGGTTGGCAACATCGCTTGGCAATAACCTCGGAGATCACGGAGGTTAAACATGCAGTACAACCTTCGTCTTGTTCCGTCTGACAGCCCTCATGGCTGAAGGCTTCCCGTGGGCTGCCGTGTGATACTGACAGAGCGTCTGTCAGTGGACCGGAGTCACTGCATACCAAACCACTGTTCCTGATCGGCCCACTGAGCCGCCTCACTGTCACTGCCCTCAAGATCGCCGTCCTCCCCGCTGCCTTCCATGTCGTCACCATCCAGCTCCACTGTGGCGTCTGTGGGGCTCTCCTCCTTCTCCATCTTCTGCATGCCTTCTAATGATTTCTGGTCATTGGGATCCAGGCTTAGGACAGAAAACCATACAGTGTTAAATTCATAAAAAAATACTTACTAGATTTTATGACAGCATTTTCCCAGGATCAATAATCAGTGTTTACCTTAATGCTATACTGTACTGGTCCATGGCTTCTTGGTAATCATTGACCGCCACCAGGAAATCTCCCAGCATCCTGTGCAGGACACAGTCACTTTGATTGGCCAAGGCGTTCCGCAGGAGAGCGATCCCTTCTTCATATTTCTGTTCCCGGCCTTCAAACAAGAAAAAAAAAAAAAAAAGCAACAATTTCATCTCATCTGTATGTGAAGCTTCTTTTTCCTCCTTTCAAGTCATTAAACTGTAGATTTATTTATCATTGGGGAAAGGAGGAAAACAGAAATACTTAAGAGTCTTTTTTGCTGTACGTACTGAGGAGTTCAGCCTTCTTGACCACAGCCTTGGTGTAGTCAGGTCTCTGGGCCAGTGCCTTGTCTAAAAGGGTTTTGGCTTTCTCCTGAGTCACTGGGTCTTCCAGACACACTGTGGCGAGGATGGTCAGAGTCTGTGCATTGGCTCCTAAAGTCTTATAGATGTTGTTAGCCATTCCCATAGCCTCACGAATCCCATTGGATGCCAGATAACAGTCAATTAAACCTGGAGTCATTAATACTTTGTTATTGCAAACGAAACAAAAACAATCTGAAGAGCCAAAACAAGAAAGAAAAAAAAGCTAAAAGTAAGCCTACCTTCATAGCAGTCAAGGCGGCAGGGTGCCAAACGCATGGCCTCTCTGAAATGGATGATGGCTTCCTGAACTCGGCCCATGTTTCTCAGTGCTGCACCCTTCAGCAGCAGTGCCTGAACACTATTGCTGTTCAGCTGGATGGCCTTGGCTCCCAGGTAGAGAGCCCGGGAGTAACGCTTGCTATAAAAACTGTGACATCTGAACACCGCACATCGAAAAGTTTAATGATATAAAACACGGAAACTACATGAGAGAGATTTTGTCTGAGAAAAGTAAGACTACTCACCCAGAGATCACCCACGGTTCAGCGTGCTGATCAGATATATTAAATAATCGACCTCCCAAGACTTCAACATCCTCCAGGTGTCCCTCACGGGCCATCAGGTAGCCATAAACATCCATACCTGAAAAAGCAAACATGTTTCCAAGTCTGTCTTTATTAAGGCTACTTAGACTTGTGTGACACACAGATTCTGATATTAAAACTGTCATCAACTACAAAATACATGTGTAAGTCAAAATGTTCTCTCCTGTAACACACCTTTGATGAGGTAAGGGTCCAACATCTGGGCTTGTTCAAATTTGAGAATTGCATTTTTCGTGTCACCTGCTCTGAAATAGACATCTGCCAGGCTCACCAGGAGGTCCACGTTGTCCCGCAAAAGTGATTTCTTTTCCAAAGAGCTGAGAGTGTTTCAGGGAGGAAGTTAAGACTGTCACAAAACACGGCTCGCAATATTCACTGTGTACAAATCATTATTGCTTTGCTCACCAAATGGTATTAATAGCTCTCTGGTTATCCCCTGCATGTATGAAGGCGTACGCTTTGATCCAAACAGACAGCCAGTCAAGGTTGGGGATACTCTGGGTCGCATCCATAGTCATGGAAGCCACCTCGGCTCCTTTGACTGACAGAGAAAGAAGACCTAAAGGAAAAACACATTTATCAATTATTTAAAAGAGATGCTAAATCCAAGCAGAAGGGTTTTTTTGTTTGTTTGCTTTAAAGTGGCATGGACATAGGAGAGCACTGCAGGTACAAACATCTTAGCAGATGAAGTGCTGCTTGTGGGATTACAGAGTCTACAGTGAACATGCGTACCAATGATTGCATCCAAGGCAAGAGGGCACTGTCTGAGGACCTCTTTGTAACTCGTCACAGCAGATCGCTCCTGTCCAGCTTTCCTGTACAGGTTAGCTAGCATCATGTTGATCTGAGGCAGGAAGGAATACAAAAAGTAATTACTACACCTTATACAAGTTACTGCACTTGAACTGGTTTCAAAAGGTTAAATAGAGCTTCATACAGTTCCATATCATATGAGCCCCATTTCAACAAAACTGGATGAATAACTTAGGAAAAGTGGAGATCTGAAAACTAGTATCCAACACTGCTTTGGGCCTAAATTTGCCAGAATTCAGGGGTCAGAATCAATGTAGGTAATTTCTGATTTCAATTAATGACTTCTGTTCTTATAACTGATACCCTAGCACAGAGGTTCCCAGTATGAAAAGGAAAAAAAAAAAAAAAAAGAATGCTTGGACACTGCTAGCATAATGGACAGGTTTTTTGACGGGAGATGACGCGTCGCCAAATACGTTTCCAAACCAACTTCCTTCCATGCCAAAGACTAGAAAATATGGTGAAGCATATCTTCCCTTTGGCTTCACCTGCACAAGTGCCAAGGTAGGTCTCTGCGACAGAATTAGTTTTCCCTGTGTCGGGAGCACGCGCTGGGCTCTCCAAATCCCAGACAAACAGTATCCCACATTCTTGATTTTTAGTTCACAAACGCTTCTTGTAAT